ATCGATACAACATTGTGTTGATAGAAATCAACACGTAATGAAATAAGACCCCACGGTTTGATGATTGATAGGTGTGTGGCTGACACACAGAACAATGGGGGCTATCCACCCTTATCCACAATGTAAAGTCATTCACAGCCTCTTCCCTCTTCTCTCTGTGAGGAGCAGCAGGTTCAGCTTTCAGAACAAAGTAACACAAAACTAAAATGGCATTCATTTTTTTTTAAATATGTCGTGTAGTAATAGATTTATTTATTTGTCTTCTCAAGAGAGTACCAGAATGTGTATTTTATGTTAGTATTTCTCCTGGGGGAGAATTCCCCCAGACCCCCCTACAGGGGTTGGGCTTTCAGCATGTCATCTCTTTCACCTGTGGGGAAGTTGCAGGATTGGCTCCAGGTCGCCCTTTTTATTTACTACAAGACAAATGTGCCTTTTTATTTCATACAGTTCAATTTGGATTGAGACGGGGAAATAATCTAAACCTCCCGCGTGGCGTTTCACTGTCAAGGGGAGCGTGTATGTAATTACATTGCAAATACTGACATGAGCCCCACCACTGTATGGGTTAGCCCTACCATAGATTACCCAACACAAATACTCTCTCGCAACTGCTGACCCGTATTGCGCATGCGCAGATCTAAGATCCAGTAGAAATGATAAAAAAGTAAAAGTCTGCTGCTTATTGTTCTACTAGGCCAACATATAGTGTGTTAATTAACATATTTGGCAGTTTGGAGTAAGTCTGTAGATTTGTTTGTGTGTGTGTGTTTCATGTATTCTCACGATAATTAATTTTGTTGGATACATTTTCCCGGAAATTATTGCGATAAACGATAATATTGTCGGCATATAATGATAATATATAATAATAATTCAAGTACATCCTTTCCAACTGCTAGTCACATCCTCATGTAAATGGCAATTTATCGAGTTCATTTTTATTTATCGTACGATAAGTCAATTAATTGTTTATCGCGACAGGCACACAATAAAACAGTGGAAACAAACATGTGTTTGACTTTCATTAGTGAATGAAACTTTGTGCCCTTTATAGTCTGTGTCCAATATTGTGTATTTGTATATATTGTATATATATCCTATATATGCTACGGTCCCGCTGCTGACACGATAGCAGTCATTTCGTGCGCATATGTGTAATTAAACCCATGATATCAAAATCTCACTGCAGCCAGGAACCCAAAGTTGGCAACCCTGATTATACTGTTATAAGATGTATGTAGATAGTATAAGAAATGTGCATAATATGACAGTTTAATGGTGGAGGTATACACATATTGATATATGTCTTGAAATGCACTGTTGAGGAACCTGCGACCCAAGTTTTTCATCTCCGACCTTGTCAGATATTGAATATTCAATAAATAAAGAACACAGAATTGTTAAATATAAAACACAGAATTTGTGTGATTATACTAAATGATTTACAAATAAACACCACTGCATATTTACAACTGTTACACATGCTGATGTAACGCAAATGTTCCAACTTGGGATCAATAAAGTATATCTCATCTCTTTCGACTCCACTTTGAGCGATATAATTACTAACAGAGCACTTATATACTAATAAAGGACTGGCTTACCTAAAGCCAGTTGAGTAGCACTTGAAATGTTTAGCTCTATGAAACCTGATATACTTTATGATTCTGTTTTCTTCAAGGTTGTGTCTTCCTGGTCGAATGTACTTATTGTAAGTCGCTTTGGATAAAAGCCTAAGCTAAATGTAATGTAATGTAAGATGATTGATGGCTATGCCATATTTGCCTCTGAACCTTGACAAGTGCATGTTTCAGGCTCATCAATTAATGTAATGTAATGTAATGTTATCAATGAACAACAGGAGGGGTCACAGACATAAGACCAGCTGTTAAATAAAGCTCTTCTGACCTTAGCTGGCATGTGTGTATATATATTAATGCTGCCCATTATGGGCACAAGCCATTTTCACCCATTTATTAATTATATGTTTTAAATGTGAGTGTTTCCTATCCCCTAAACCTCCAGGGATGTACACCGTTTAATACTGGCAACTTCTTATTATGGAAAATACGAAAACGTCTTTTAAAACTACAACTCCCAGCAGAGACGTGCCATAAAACATGTTGCGAAACACACAATAGCCAGCATGTGTAGTTCTGGGGACGGGGGACGGGGTGGGGGAGGGGGGACGCGGTGGACCCGTTCAAATGCAGTTTTGGACAGTCTGCCGTGGTTCCATCCCATTTCAAAGTGCTGTTCGACGCTCGGCGTAACCCTCGGAGCACACTCAAACATCCAATCACAGAGCTTGAGGACTATCACGGGGTTTGTCAAGCGAAGCGGAGAGAATACTTTCTTCCGGGTGTAAAATTCTCTAAAGCAAATGAGCTGCTCCGACCCTCGGTCCTGACGGACTCCAACTTGTGTTTATTAATCAAACAAATAAATAAACAGAAGGATAATTGTGTTTATTGTTGAGTAAATAACAGTGTGGTTTAGAAAAGAATACAAAATTAGAAGGAAAAAACGATGAAACCATACAGAGTTCAGTTTTCTGAGCCCCGACTCTCCCCGTAACTGACGGCAACAAAAGTCCTACAATATTCAATCAAAATAAAGAAGTAAAAACAATAAGTGTGGCTTGATATTGAGTAAGAAAAAGGTTGATAAACGCTGTGAGAATGAATCTGCGGAGAGCATTCGCTCGCGATCCCAACTCCTCTATTCTATATAATATATCTCAAATTAGTATCTCGTCCGCACGGGTTAGTATCTCGTACGCACGGGTTAGTATCTCGTACGCACGGGTTAGTATCTCGTACGCACGGGTTAGAATCTCGTACGCACGAGTTAGTATCTCGTACGTACGGGTTAGTATCTCGTACGCACGGGTTAGTATCTCGTACGCACGGGTTAGTATCTCGTACGTACGGGTTAGTATCTCGTACGTACGGGTTAGTATCTCGTACGCACGGGTTAGTATCTCGTACGCACGGGTTAGTATCTCGTACGCACGGGTTAGAATCTCGTACGCACAAGTTAGAATCTCGTACGCACAAGTTAGTATCTCGTACGCACGGGTTAGTATCTCGTACGCACGGGTTAGTATCTCGTACGCACGGGTTAGTATCTCGTACGTACGGGTTAGTATCTCGTACGTACGGGTTAGTATCTCGTACGCACGGGTTAATATCTCGTACGCACGGGTTAGTATCTCGTACGCACGGTTTAGTATCTCGTGCGCACGGGTTAGTATCTCGTACGCACGGGTTAGTATCTCGTACGCACAGGTTAGTATCTCGTACGCACGCGTTAGTATCTCGTACGCACGGGTTAGTATCTCGTACGCACGGGTTAGTATCTCGCAGAGTCCTGCATCGGGTCGGGTAACCCGCGGGTACCCGACGGGTGACCCGCAAAAAAGGTGATTCGCGGGTGGTATTTTTTCAAACGCTTTTTTCCGGGTTCGGTTCTAGGTAAAACAAAGATGATGCGGGTCGGGTCGCGGGTGTTGCATAATAAATATATTTAAATAATAATAATTTAGTTTAATGTTTAAATCCTCAGACCTCTCCCCCGCGGGACCGCGCATAATCATAACCTCTGCAGCGCATCAATCTGCTGCTGAGCGCGCCACATTCGAAATGGCTGAGCTGAAGCTCTCTAGCGGAGAATACAGCATTTTCAATAACACTTCCTCAAGAGCGAAATCCAACGTCTGGAGGCTTCTGGTTCCTAGATGGAGAAAATAACCAACATCCCACGCTTTTTGAGACAAATATGCAACTGCATGTGTTAATAATTGCACGTTTTCACTGCTCATATAGGCTATGCGGGTTCGGGTCGGGTTGCGGATCTTGTGCCGACGGGTCGGGTCGGGTTGCGGAACTAATTGGCAATATGTGCGGGTAGCGGGGCGGGTCCGGTATTGCATGTCGCGGGTGCGGGGCGGGAGCGGGTCTTGAAAATCAGACCCGTGCAGGACTCTGGTATCTCGTACGCACGGGTTAGTATCTCGTACGCACGGGTACGCACGGGTTAGTATCTGGTACGGACGCGTTAGTATCTCGTACGCACGCGTTAGTATCTCGTACGCACGGGTTAACCCGTTATCCTGACTATCAGAATATTTTTTGAATTATTTTTTGTGTATTTTATTAAAAAAAGGTTTGATGACGAAAATAATATTTATTTACATTTTTTGTAAAATGTTCAGATATTTTTCTCACATTTCTTGGATAATATTTAGACACAACAATAATATTTGTTATCAGTATTCCCTGTTTTTTGTTTTGTTTATTTTTAAATTAGATAATGAGACAAAAAGTCAGATTATTGTGAAAAGTCTGATTTTTCCAACATAAAAAGTATTTATGTTTTTGATTCAAAATAAGAATTTGCAATTCATTTTTTGTAATTCCAAATTATTTATCAATGTTTTCATTTTTATGATTAATAAATATCTTCTTTTAATTTTATAACATTTCTGATCGAATTTCCTTTTTCTCCTGAAATATTTTAATATTAAAACGTTTTTCTGAATATTCACTAATATTTTCCTGGTGTCTCTTTTTTTGTTTGTTTACTTGGATATAATAATAAACACATTGAAATAGGTCATCTTCAGAACATTCCCTTTACATTTATTTTAACAAATTCAAGTTTGTTTACTGATTTGACCATAGTTCATTTCCTTGAATCAGATAGTGTGTCGTCATATAACGTGAAATAACGTGTGTGTGTGTGTGGGTGTGTGTGTGTGTGAGTGTGTGTGTGTGTGTGTGAGTGTGTGTGTGAGTGTGTGTGTGTGTGTGTGTGTGTGTGTGTGTGAGTGTGTTGTGTGTGTGTGTTTGTGTGAGTGTGTGTGTGTGTGTGTGTGGTGTGTGTGTGTGTGTGTGTGTGTGTGTGTGTTTGTGTGTGCAGGTGCAGCCGGTACAGCAGGTTGAGCATGTCAGACACACCTGAGGGTGGAGTCGGCCTGAAACTCACCTGCAGAGACCATCACACACTGATTGACATACACATACACACACACTCAGAGCGGCAGGATGGCGACGAAGTGGATCGCAGAGAAAATGGGTGAGTGAGAGGATCATTGTGTGTGTGTGTGTGTGTGTGTGTGTGTGTGTGTGTGTGTGTGTGTGTGTGTGTGTGTGTGTGTGTGTGTGTGTGTGTGTGTGTGTGATTTGAATGCTGCGTCAGGAGGAGAGAGAGTTAGTTTCAAAATGAGAAACGCTTAAAAAAATCTGGAAATACACATTTTTAAAATGTTTACATTTTAAAATCTGGACAATCTGTGTCTCTGTGTAGTCTGTGTCTCTGTGTAGTCTGTGTCTCTGTGTAGTCTGTGTCTCTATGTAGTCTGTGTCTCTATGTAGTCTGTGTCTCTATGTAGTCTGTGTCTCTGTGTAGTCTGGGTCTCTATGTATCTCTGTAGTCTGTGTCTCCTATGTAGTCTGTGTCTCTGTTGTCTGTGTCTCTATGTAGTCTGGGTGTCTCTATGTAGTCTGTGTCTCTATGTAGTCTGTGTCTCTATGTAGGCTTGGTCTCTATGTAGTCTGTGTCTCTCGTGTAGTCTGTGTCTCGGTGTAGTCTGTGTCTCTATGTAGTCCTGTGGTCTCTGTGTAGTCTGTGTCTCTATGTAGTCTGTGTCTCTGTTAGTCGTGTTCTCTATGTAGTCTGTGTCTCTATGTAGTCTGTGTCTCTATGTAGTCTGTGTCTCTATGTAGTCTGTGTCTCTATGTAGTCTGTGTCTCTGTGTAGTCTGTGTCTCTATGTAGTCTGTGTCTCTATGTAGTCTGTGTCTCTATGTAGTCTGTGTCTCTATGTAGTCTGTGTCTCTATGTAGTCTGTGTCTCTATGTAGTCTGTGTCTCTATGGTAGTCTGTGTCTCTATGTAGTCTCTATGTAGTCTCTATGTAGTCTCTATGTAGTCTCTATGTAGTCTCTGTCCTCTATGTAGTCTGTGTCTCTATGGTAGTCTGTGTCTCTAGGTAGTCTGTGTCTCTGTGTAGTCTGTGTCTCTATGTAGTCTGTGTCTCTATGTAGTCTCTATGTGTCTCTATGTAGTCTGTGTCTCTATGTAGTCTCTATGTAGTCTCTTTGTGTCTCTATGTAGTCTCTATGTAGTCTGTGTCTCTATGTAGTCTCTATGTGTCTCTATGGTAGTCTCTATGTAGTCTGTGTCTCTGTGTAGTCTGTGTCTCTATGTAGTCTGTGTCTCTATGTAGTCTGTGTCTCTATGTAGTCTGTGTCTCTTTGTAGTCTGTGTCTCTATGTAGTCTGTGTCTCTATGTAGTCTGGTGTCTCTATGTAGTCTGTGTCCTCTATGTAGTCTGTGTCTCTGTGTAGTCTGTGTCCTCTGTGTAGTCTGTGTCTCTATGTAGTCTGTGTCTCTGTGTAGTCTGTTGTCTCTATTAGTCCTGTGTCTCTATTAGTCTGTGTTCTCTATGTAGTCTGTGTCTCTTGTAGTCTGTGTCCTCTATGTAGTCTGTGTCTCTATGTAGTCTGTGTCTCTATGTAGTCTGTGTCTTCTGTGTAGTCTGTGTCTCTGTGTAGTCTGTGTCTCATGTAGTCTGGTTCTCTATGTAGTCTGTGTCTCTATGTAGTCTGTGTCTCTATGTAGTCTGTGTCTCTATGTAGTCTGTGTCTCTTTGTAGTCTGTGTCTCTATGTAGTCTGTGTCTCTATGTAGTCTGTGTCTCTATGTAGTCTGTGTCTCTATGTAGTCTGTGTCTCTGTGTAGTCTGTGTCTCTGTGTAGTCTGTGTCTCTGTGTAGTCTGTGTCTCTGTGTAGTCTGTGTCTCTGTGTAGTCTGTGTCTCTGTGTAGTCTGTGTCTCTGTGTAGTCTGTGTGTCTATGTAGTCTGTGTCTCTATGTAGTCTGTGTCTCTATGTAGTCTGTGTCTCTATGTAGTCTGTGTCTCTGTGTAGTCTGTGTCTCTGTGTAGTCTGTGTCTCTATGTAGTCTGTGTCTCTATGTAGTCTGTGTCTCTATGTAGTCTGTGTCTCTGTGTAGTCTGTGTCTCTGTGTAGTCTGTGTCTCTGTGTAGTCTGTGTCTCTATGTAGTCTGTGTCTCTGTGTAGTCTGTGTCTCTATGTAGTCTGTGTCTCTGTGTAGTCTGTGTCTCTGTGTAGTCTGTGTCTCTATGTAGTCTGTGTCTCTATGTAGTCTGTGTCTCTTTGTAGTCTGTGTCTCTATGTAGTCTGTGTCTCTATGTAGTCTGTGTCTCTATGTAGTCTGTGTCTCTATGTAGTCTGTGTCTCTATGTAGTCTGTGTCTCTATGTAGTCTGTGTCTCTGTGTAGTCTGTGTCTCTATGTAGTCTGTGTCTCTGTGTAGTCTGTGTCTCTATGTAGTCTGTGTCTCTATGTAGTCTGTGTCTCTATGTAGTCTGTGTCTCTATGTAGTCTGTGTCTCTATGTAGTCTGTGTCTCTGTGTAGTCTGTGTCTCTATGTAGTCTGTGTCTCTATGTAGTCTGTGTCTCTATGTAGTCTGTGTCTCTGTGTAGTCTGTGTCTCTGTGTAGTCTGTGTCTCTATGTAGTCTGTGTCTCTATGTAGTCTGTGTCTCTATGTAGTCTGTGGTCTCTGTGTTAGTCTGTGTCTCTGTGTAGTCTGTGTCTCTGTGTAGTCTGTGTCTCTATGTAGTCTGTGTCTCTATGTAGTCTGTGTCTCTATGTAGTCTGTGTCTCTATGTAGTCTGTGTCTATGTAGTCTGTGTCTCTATGTAGTCTGTGTCTCTATGTAGTCTGTGTCTCTATAGTCTGTGTCTCTATGTAGTCTGTGTCTCTATGTAGTCTGTGTCTCTATGTAGTCTGTGTCTCTGTGTCTCTGTGTCTCTATGTAGTCTGTGTCTCTGTGTAGTCTGTGTCTCTATGTAGTCTGTGTCTCTATGTAGTCTGTGTCTCTGTGTAGTCTGTGTCTCTATGTAGTCTGTGTCTCTATGTAGTCTGTGTCTCTGTGTAGTCTGTTCTCTATGTAGTCTGTGTCTCTATGTAGTCTGTTCTCTGTGTAGTCTGTGTCCTTGTGTAGTCTGTGTCTCTATGTAGTCTCTATGTGTCTCTATGTAGTATGTGTCTCTATGTAGTCTCTATGTAGTCTCTATGTAGTCTCTATGTAGTCTGTGTCTCTATGTAGTCTGTGTCTCTGTGTCTCTGTGTCTCTATGTAGTCTGTGTCTCTATGTAGTCTGTGTCTCTGTGTAGTCTGTGTCTCTGTGTAGTCTGTGTCTCTGTGTAGTCTGTGTCTCTGTGTAGTCTGTGTCTCTGTGTAGTCTGTGTCTCTGTGTAGTCTGTGTCTCTATGTAGTCTGTGTCTCTATGTAGTCTGTGTCTCTGTGTAGTCTGTGTCTCTATGTAGTCTGTGTCTCTATGTAGTCTGTGTCTCTATGTAGTCTGTGTCTCTATGTAGTCTGTGTCTCTATGTAGTCTCTATGTAGTCTGTGTCTCTGTGTAGTCTGTGTCTCTATGTAGTCTGTGTCTCTGTGTCTCTGTGTCTCTGTGTAGTCTGTGTCTCTATGTAGTCTGTGTCTCTATGTAGTCTGTGTCTCTATGTAGTCTGTGTCTCTATGTAGTCTGTGTCTCTGTGTAGTCTGTGTCTCTGTGTATCTTTCTCTAGTAGTCTGTGTCTCTGTGTAGTCTGTGTCTCTCTGTAGTCTGTTCTCTGTGTAGTCTGGTGTCTCTGTGTAGTCTGTGTCTCTATGTAGTCTGTGTCTCTGTGTAGTCTGTGTCTCTATGTAGTCTGTGTCTCTGTGTTTCTGTGTCTCTATGTAGTCTGTGTCTCTGTGTAGTCTGTGTCTCTGTGTAGTCTGTGTCTCTATGTAGTCTGTGTCTCTATGTAGTCTGTGTCTCTATGTAGTCTGTGTCTCTATGTAGTCTGTGTCTCTGTGTAGTCTGTGTCTCTATGTAGTCTGTGTCTCTGTGTAGTCTGTGTCTCTATGTAGTCTGTGTCTCTGTGTAGTCTGTGTCTCTATGTAGTCTGTGTCTCTATGTAGTCTGTGTCTCTGTGTAGTCTGTGTCTCTGTGTAGTCTGTGTCTCTATGTAGTCTGTGTCTCTATGTAGTCTGTGTCTCTGTGTAGTCTGTGTCTCTATGTAGTCTGTGTCTCTCTGTAGTCTGTGTCTCTGTGTAGTCTGTGTCTCTATGTAGTCTGTGTCTCTATGTAGTCGTGTCTCTATGTAGTCTGTGTCTCTATGTAGTCTGTGTCTCTGTGTAGTCTGTGTCTCTGTGTAGTCTGTGTCTCTGTAGTCTTATTGTAGTCTGTGTCTCTGTGTAGTCTGTGTCTCTGTGTAGTCTGGTGTCTCTATGTAGTCTGTGTCTCTATGTAGTCTGTTGTCTCTATGTAGTCTGTGTCTCTTATGTAGTCTGTGTCTCTATGTAGTCTCTATGTAGTCTGTGTCTCTATGTAGTCTGTGTCTCTATGTAGTCTGTGTCTCTGTGTAGTCTGTGTCTCTATGTAGTCTGTGTCTCTATGTAGTCTGTGTCTCTGTGTAGTCTGTGTCTCTGTGTAGTCTGGTCTCTATGTAGTCTGTGTCTCTATGTAGTCTGTGCCTCTATGTAGTCTGTGTCTCTATGTAGTCTGTGTCTCTATGTAGTCTGTGTCTCTATGTAGTCTGTGTCTATATGTAGTCTGTGTCTCTCTGTAGTCTTATTGTAGTCTCTGTCTCTCTGTAGTCTTATTGTAGTCTCTGTCTCTCTGTAGTCTGTGTCTCTCTGTAGTCTGTGTCTCTGTGTAGTCGTGTCTCTGTGTAGTCGTGTCTCTGTGTAGTCGTGTCTATGTGTAGTCGTGTCTCTGTGTAGTTGTGTCTCTGTGTAGTCGTGTCTCTGTGTAGTCGTGTCTCTGTGTAGTCGTGTCTCTGTGTAGTCGTGTCTCTGTGTAGTCGTGTCTCTGTGTAGTCGTGTCTCTGTGTAGTCGTGTCTCTATGTATCTGTGTCTCTATGTAGTCTGTGTCTCTATGTAGTCTGTGTCTCTATGTAGTCTGTGCTCTATGTAGTCTGTTATGTAAGTAGTCTGTCGGTGTATCGTAGTATGTGTGGTTCTTTCTGTAGTCTGTGTTTCTATAGTCTGTGTTTCTATAGTCTGTG